ATACTCCGCCCTCAGCCTCCGAGCTTCATCGCTGTGTTCTCACAGACGCTGTGCAGGCCCTTAGTTTACGCATGATGTGGGTGCACAGTGATACGTGACGTGGTCACAACTGTTATCTGGTGACACCTGACACCTGAAAACTGCTTCCTATGTTTATGGTCCACATTAAGACTCTCTCTTGTGAAGTACACATGCATGTTTTATGTCAACTTTTTCCACTAGAATGTCTTATCTTATTCAGACTGATTAATTGATGTCACCTACATATATCCTGAATCAGAGTCCTTTGTTGGAATATATATTATAAATACCTCCCCTATTTTGTCTTCCTTTTTGCCCTCTTACTAGCATCTTTTGAAAAACAGAAGTTCTTAACTATGTTTAGCTTGTAACTTTCCTTTCCTGTTTTATGTCGCTCCTTGCTCCAAGTCACGAAGGGCACCTGGTCTAGCTCTCTCTGCATACCTTATGGCCTACCTCTTATACTTAAATCTATGATCTGTCTGAAATTCTTTTGCTACATACTTATGAAGGAAACATCAATATTAGTGCTTTTTCTGCCTCAATTTCTAACTGCTCAACCACAATTTCCTTCCCCACTGTAACACAGTGTAGGTCTCCATACAGACATTACTGTGAATTTCCCAGATTTTCTCTTTTTTTTAATCCTTTATTTATTTGATACATCAGTGGCACAGCATGTGGTTCCAGAGATTGATCTCTGAACCTTGTGCGCTTGCCAGGCAGGCACGTATGCCGCCAAGCTATCTCCCTAGCTCCAGATTTTCTCTTTTATCCCTCCCTCTCCACCTCAACTCACAGTTAACTGCTAACACGTATTAAGTGTCCCAATGTCTTGTGACACCAGATTCAAGACTATCTTGACTAGCCTCGCTCCCTTTCATTTTCATATATATTTTAAATTTTGGTGGTAAAATAAAAGCTGAAATTCTTTTTTTTTTTTTTTTTTTTGCGGAACTGGGAATTGAACTCAGGCCCTTGCGCTTGCTAGGCAACTGCTTATTCCACTGAGTCATCTCCCCAGCCCCAAAAGCTGAAATTCTGATTGGATTTCCCACTGAATATACATAAATTTGGTAAGAAGTGACATTACAATATGAAGTCTTTGATCCATGACTACTGTATCTCACTTCATTTCTGTGAGGATTCTCACAAGTGCATTTTAAATGTAGTACTAATGTTTTGTCATTTTTACTAAAAGTCTTACATAACTTTTGTTAACTTTTTATTCCTATGTGTCTGAAGTTTTCTGACACTGTTATAAATGGTAGATTTTTTAATAGTAATTCATTTCCTATTGTTGTCATAATTACCTAATAACTTTTCTTGTTTAAAAAAAGCTAATCTAAAATTTAAATCCCCCGGAATGCTGGCTATTGCCGCCTCATCTTCGTTCTGTCCCAGTGGGCTGCTACAGGACGGCTGCTCTCACCCCACAGGAAAGACTTCAGGGCTTCGGGCAACTTGCGAAGTCCTTAAGATCTCCCTTTCTACGTTTGACCAAACCAATCTCAAATTATGAGCTAAATGTCTAAACCTCCATGCCTGTTTTTATTCTTTTAAAATCATTCAGTGTTCAAGAATTTTTGTTATTTGTTTAGCAAAAGAGGAAGGAAGGTAGGGACAGGGTTCAGTGGCAAAGCATTGCCCAGCAGCTATGTGCAAGGCTCCCAGCACTTGTGCAAGCACATGCACACACATGTGCACACATACACACAATACAATTTGAAAGCATCCCTTTCAACTCCGATAGTCCCAGGAGCTCAGCATCTACGTATGCTCCACAAGGCAGGCTAGAAGGAAGAAGGTGCCTTCATTTGCATGCATGTGTATTTGAGTCATTGAATTACACAGGAAAGTGGCTCCAGCTTTTCTTCTCTAATGAAGTGATCTGGACTAAAATAAATCCAAGCAGACTTTGGCTCCAGTTGTTGGCTCAGGGTCACGAGGAAGGAAGGGACGGTCTGAAGGGACACAACAGCCCTGGAAAACTCAGATTTTCATCCCAGAAGACATTTCTGTCAGTGTCATTTTACTTATTACTACCTTCAAGCCATCTATCTACCTGCAGGAAAAGGTACTTTTAAGGAGTTTTCAACAGTGGCAAAGTTTCCTGAAGTCAATGCTTCAAGAATTTGGTCTTGACCAGGAATGTCTGGTCGAACTACTTTCTTTCTTGTTCCACTTGGTTTTCTCTGACTCATTCCCGATCCTCTAAGCCTGTGACAAAAGAGGCACCACAGCCTCCAAACGCCTCCCTTCGTGCCGGCATCACACAGAAGCGTGAAGGAACTGCGAACATGACAGGAAGCGGCGGTCCAGCCCCGCCGCACCCACACCACACTGTGACACGGGGCACCCAGGACATCCTGGGTCTTCTGCGTCCTCACAGCAAGCACAGGGCCCTCCTCAAGAGGGTGAGTTCTGGAGTAAGCCTGGTAAAGGGGTTCCAATCCCTTTTCTGTCACCAGTGACTTGGCTGAAGGTATGTAACAGTACTGCTGTAAGGATGACACGCTGGTTTCTGAATGCTTATCCTAGTTTCTGATATCTAGGAGCCACTTAGAGAAGAGTGAAATTACTTCTACCCTGAAAGAAAGGTAAATAATGGATTGTATACTAGATATAAAATGGCAAGAATAAAGATGAATCTTTAACCTTTGTACCCTAATCTGTAGATGGCTTTAAAATCAGCTTACTATGAAAGGGGAAAACAAAGATAGCAGAAATGAGATACATGTTAACTTATTTTTAAAAATGAGTTTACCAACCAATGACTATAAAAGGAAAACAGATACAATTAACTTCCAAGAAATTTAATCTCAGCCATGAAAGATGATTTTGAAAACCCTTTCAAGGTTAACAATCAAAACAACACAACAATTGCTGCAGACAACAAAAATGAAGCCAGATTCTTTTCAAGCGAAAATCTAGCCTATTACAAAATACCACTCAACCCTTTGTATATAGGAGCACCCACGAGAAAGATTGCTTGTAGGAAGGAAAACACAGGCATACCTTCTACAAGAATGCAAGAGACTGGAAGGCTGACTTACAGAAACCTTCATTAATGGGCCTCTCCACAGGAGTGGGAATGAGCTCTTCTTCCTTCCAGGTAGATGAGATGAAAGATGCCAGCAACAATTAAGTACAGCCTTGCAGGTCAAAGTCCTCAACATGGCAGAAGTCAGCCAAAAGGGGCTTATATTCACACATACTTATACTGAATTAAACTGAATTAACTGATGACACTAGAGGGGAAACGTCTTTTTAGAGAGAAGCTTCACCTTTGCAAAGCCATCTGCTCCAAGGCCCTACAGGAAACATTCTCAAGACCCTCCTGGGTCTTCGATCCTACCGGCCCTGGAAGGGAATTCCATGCGCCTGGGAGGCCACCACATCCTCTCTGGCAAGGGCTTTCTGTCGCCTTCCCAGTGGCCCAGCCAGCTGGCTCTGGAAGGCTGCGCTCCTCCCACTGAGAATGGAGCAGAGCAGACCCTGCTCATGCCCTCAGTGCCAGAGGGCTCGGCACATGCGCAGCTCCCTGGCCTTCGGGCTTCCATCTGAAAGCACTCTGCCCGGGCACAAGAGGGAGGAATAAACGGGTCGTGTTCTCCACAAAGGACACAGGGAGTGTTCTCTGGACTCAACAGCGATATAGTAGATGGTCACTGTGGGGGGCTTCTGGTGAAACGTCCCAGAAAGCACTGAAGAGGTGCCCTGATGTGCTGGCAGAAGTTTCCTGAAGTCACTAAGCCACAGGGGACACCACCTCTACAGAACAGAGAGCAAGCTCTGAAAAGGGAACGAGCCACTGTAGCAAAATGTAGAAAAATAAAACATACTCTTGTGAAACCTGTGCTAAATGCAGTGACCAGCAGACTGGAGAGAACAAGGGGTTAACTGGACTACTGCCACTGCAGAAACACGTCTATCGTATCAAACTGTATGTTATGAGAAGAATAAACTAGCTCCAGGTCGGCTGGTGACAGTCCCCGCCCCACCCCACAGCTGTGGCTTTGTGGGACCCAGAATCTGAGGGAACGCCTGGTGCAGCAGGGAACCGGCTCCAGCCCAGCTAAGCACACACTTCTGGAACGATCTTGTGAAGCCCTGCTCGCCTACTCTGATACTCTGATCGTCAACCCTTGACGTCAGCCCAAGAATAACAGGTATGACCAGTCAAAAAAGAGGGAAGTGGGCCACAATCAGTAATCTGAACTAGAGCTAACGGTAGCTTTCTAGAGCTAAAGAAGACCTAGGTTTTGAAAACCAACACTAGATGAATTAGTTTCTAGGCTAAAATTCTGAAAGAAGATTGAAGAGCTAGGTTTGTTTTTTTTTTTAAGCCAAAAGACTGGGTTCAATTTGGCTTGGCTAACCCAAGAAGTGTGAAATGGTTGTTTTCTCTTCTGCTTGATCTTCCTTAAATGAAAAAAAAAGAAAAGAAAAGAAAAAATCCACCAAGTCCAGCAACCAGAGGGCAGCAGGGGGTGCCGCGCAGCTGCTGGGCTCACCCTACGGAGTAAGATGCTCACTCTCCCACCTGCTGGACACTGAGGCCTGGGCCGCCTCCTGTTCCAGGAATTGCCCAGGCCTCCCCTGCCAAGGCTGTGCACCCAACCCAGCCAACACCCGCAGACAGGCAATTACAAGGCAGAGAGGCCGAATTCCCAAGCCTGAACTCGGGCCCACCCCAGAGCAGCTTGTGGCCTGCGGTGGCCCCTGCCGAGGCTGCGTCTCACCTCATCACTTCATCCCCCCAGCCCTGTTCCTCACTCATCCCTGCTGCGGTGTCCAGGAATGCCCACCATGCCTGCCCCAGGACGCTGTGCCTGCGCTCAGGGAGCCCAGGCTCAGGCGAGCTGTCACAGCTCTGCCACGCCCCAAGAGGCAGGAGGATACCACCAACTTGTGTTTGAGCCACCCTGATGTCACTGTCACCAAGGACTGCAAACCCTCAAACACCAGGACCTAGCTGAGGACTAAGGGCCCCTAGGGTTCCTTCAGGTGCCCACGACCACACCACTAGGTGGGAAGCCAAGGAAGGGAAACTCATATCTCTCCCCTGCAAAGCGATTCTGCAAAGAATGCATTTATTTCAAAAAAGAAAAGGAAATCTAGGACCCGAGAGATGGTTCAGTGGCAAAAGTGTCTTCCTGGCAAACACCATGTCCTCAGTTTGAGCCCCAGTACAGAAAAGACAAAAAAAAAAAAAAAAAAAAGGAAATCTAAAGCTAAGCAAAAGAAAGAGAGAAAGAAAGAAAAATAAAGCTAAGCAAGACAGTATGTGAAGTCCAGGGAACAATGATTTCACTACAGATGAGGTTAATTTTATGGAACAATCTCATTAAAACACTTAAAAAATATGAAAAAGAAGAAAAGTTATCAAATTAATGTTAGGAAGCTAAAACTGGATGAGATAATAAAGAAAAAATTCATATGCCAACTTCACTTAAAACCATATGTGCAGTTTCCAAATCAACTTATTTTATGAGGCTTCCTTTCACCAATAAAAGGTAAGACAGTAACTAAAATATAGATATTCAGCTACAGGCTTTACAAATAAAAATAAAATACACAGAAAATCCACAAAATTAAGAACTATATATGAATTCTAGTAATTTCTTTGTAAAGAATTACAAAACAAAGCTGAGATAACTCAAATTAAGAAAAATAGAAAAAACTATTAGAAATGATTATGTAATCAAATGTTAAATATGAAATTCTCCATTAGATGATTTTCAAGAAAAAAAAATCAAAATTGGTTTAGCAAATAAAAATTTAAATAGATCGCTAAATCAAAACAAAGTACTATTAAATTACTATTCCCTCAAACAGTTCCAAGGGGACTGGAGAGATGGCTCAGTGGTCTAAAGCACCTATTTGGAACAAGCTTGGAAAAGCACAGGGACTGCGGTTCGATCCCCCAGCACCACATGCCAGCCAGCCACGCCCCCTGGTGGACTGAGCTGCCCCCACACACACAATAAATAAATGTAAAAAAAAAAAAAAAAAAAAAACTAGTCCCAAGCCTAGACACTTCATTCTGACTCGCTTGGGCCTTCAGTGATTGCACGTCGATGTGCAGTTCCAGGGTACTACAACTAATGCTGTAGACACCTGAGCCACAGAGGCATACAGTCCTCAGGATAACCCAACAATGGCCACCAGGACCACGTGGACTTTCCACAGGAGAAAACCGAGGCACGACTGCACAGGCTGCACACCGCAGAGCTGAGACCGGAAGGAAGATCATGACCCCGCCTACCCCTGTGAGCCTACGCTCACAACAAGGGCTGGAGCCCTGATAGCTAGCTACACTTTTGTAATCAAACATGTTTCCCCTTTTACAATGATCATCTACTGCCTGGCTGGCACTCTGTCTGCCCTCATCATGGAAGATTTACACCATCACCCTCCTGCTGACAGACACGAACAGATGGAAGCACCCAGTGTTTAGTAACACGGCTGGGATCACGCAGCTGGGATGGATTAAACCCCCACTGCCTGCAGGTCCACACCCAGTGCCACACTGAACACCCTGAAACCTGAGTGCGAAGATAGCACTCAACGTAACTTTTAGACGAATCATGAACTGCTCTATGACAGTCAGACACAGAAAGCAGGGTACCAAGGATGGAACAGGCCACTGCAGGCAAGAAGTCCTTGTGTGTTGTTCTCAAATCCTCTTAATAATCGATACACATGCAAAGCCTTCAGGGACCATCCTTGAGCTGATAACTAGATGGACATCTTCTTATAAGAGATAAATAATTATATGATTATGCTTGAATTATAAATACAATCTACATTATGACTAACCATCAGTATCCTCACTGCTTAGTTAAGTCAGTTTTGTTAAACAATGTCAGGAGACAAATTAGTTCCTCCAGGACAATTTGCAACATTTGTTCAAATGATTCTCCTTTCATTCTGTGGTATAAAGACCATATTTTGTTTGGATTTCAGAGTACATCTGGAATTGGACAGTTCTAACTACATGATGCACAGGACAGCAGCAGCACTAAAGAAACGGCCTAACAGGAGCCAAAGAGCAGGTCTTACCAAACGTCACACAACACTGTCCTGCCGGACGAACGATACTCTTAACCACGATGCAGGTAAATCTGTACCACCCTGAGTTACATACTGTATTTATCCTAACAGTAAAATTGTATTGCCTGCTGTAAGAAATAAGCCAAGCAAGCGAGACTTATCTGTAATGTAAGTGTGATGGCTGTGTCCCAATTACGTTTTTCTTTTGCTTATTTATTTAGCAGTGCTAGAGACTGAACCCAGGGCCTAGGCGAGCACTCCACCACTGAGTTCCATCCCTTTGGGCAAGATTACTGGGCACTAGGGTTAGTATCCATCAGTAAGGAGCAGGTCATGGTACCTCTGGCTTCTTGCGGTGGCCTCTTTTCACCTTCTGTCCTCTCTTCAAGGTCTTCTTTGGCAGCATCAGTATGCTGGTCTCTGAGAAAAACAGGTGTTTTGGGATTCAGTTAGAGAAGCATATAAATACAACAGTTCAACCTGCATCTCAACAACTGTTTTGTTAATTTAAAACAAACAGTACCACTAAAATGCTAGAAAGACCTGCAGATCCTTTAATCGCTAGAAAGCAATTAATATTAATAGCATCCATAAGTGTCTACTTTCTGTCAATTTTTAATTACTATTAAGAAGATTTTAAAGCTAAGAATAATACTAAGATGAGCTTGTTTGAAAAAATACAACTAATGAATAATTCAACTGTTACATGGGGCATGAATCCATGAGAAATATTATTTTTTCTCTTTGACAAACTTCATCTTAAAGAAAGAAAAATATTTTCAAAGCCTCCACTAAAACTCAGTGACTTCATACTCTCAGCTCTGGGATTGGCGCTGAACTTGAGACCAGCCCATGGGACTCAGTCCAGTCCACAGGCTGAAGCAATTCTACTTCTTGTTGACCTGTAATGACCTAATACTAACCTAAACATGTGAGAGATCTTCTAAAATTGACTGGATTTATTAAAATCTTAATTCTGAACTTTGTCCTTTAAGCCAGGGACAAAAGTGGCATTTTAACATTAGAGGAAGGGATGCATACACATAACCGCAGCTCTCTGAGATAGAAGGGTCATAAATTCAAGAGCCCAGCCTAGGCAACTTAACAACCTAGAATTGGACAATCTAGAATCTGATAACTAGATGGACAAAACCCTTCTCAAAGAGATAGGAAGAGAGAGAGAGAGAGAGAGAGAGAGAGAGAGAGAGAGAGAGAGAGAGAGAGAGATTGACTGTAGAGATTTAAGATTTTTCAGCTGAACGTATTCCATTCTCAGCATTCAAAATATTCAAAATAAACTTTAGATTGCAATTTTCTCTAAGATACGGTACCACTGTGGTGCTTTATGATATTCTGCCCCAAATCATGCTTTTATGTTTAAGAACAAGAAAAATAAATCTAAAGCAAAATGTTCTAACAAAATATAAAAGCTGTATAGTTTTAATTACAAAGGCTTGGGCTTTTTCTCCACACGAAATTTGAATAATGTAACACTATGACACCAACACAGTGCACATGCAGAAATACAACTTTTTAACAGAGATCATTTCCAACCACAAATGTGAAATTTCATGTGAACCTGAGCTTCTGGCTGAGTGTACTAGAAACAAATCACCGTAATTGCTGAAGATTATCTGTTCATTTGAGAATGATGAAGAATCAGTTATTATGCAATGAAGGGTTTTCTAAGAAATTCAGAAGGTACCGAAGCAGGATTTTAATGGCTCTGTTTCATTTAGAGTACCCCTCGCATTTTCAGTTTAATATGAAATCACTGACTACAGACAGTCAATGACTTACTTCATAAAAGGCCAGGTGTGGTGGTGCACACCTGTAATCCCAGCAGTCGGGAGGCTGACGCAGAAGGATTGTGAGTTCAAGACCAGCCTGGGCTACAAAGTGAGCTCAAGGCCAGCCTAAACTGCACAGCCGTGAGCCCATCTCAAATACACACACACACACACACACACACACACACACACACTCCACAGAAGGTAGGAGATAAGAGCTTTGATAAAAGCAAAGGCAAGACTACCACTGATAACTAGACCAAGGTCATTAGTTGCGATGTTAACAGGTTTTGTTTTCTCTGGAGAAAGTACTAAAGTCATACTAATTACAATTTGTTGAAATCAGCTTATTGTGTGCTAAAATTAACTCTTGAACTTCCAAACCTGTCTTATAGTAAATTGTAAATGTTAATTGGATTAGCAACTATGGTTAAATTTTTAACATTTTTACAGTAAAAAAACTCACTGCCATCAATTCCCCCCCTAAGTATCCCCCTGACTTTGGGGCCACAGAGACAGCTCAGTGATCTAAGCACCTGCTTATCAGGCATGTGCAAGGACCCATGTTGGATTCCCAGCACCACATGTGGTGCCAGCCCCCTGCGATCCCACACGCCTGTAACCCCAGCGCTGGAGAGGCTCAACCAGGAGGATCACTAAGAGTCTGAGCTGCACAGCGAGATCCTGTACCAAAAAAAAAAAAAAAAAGTGAGCAAGTAGTATTCTGAAAATTAATGGCAGTGTATCATTTTCTATAATTTTTTAAATTCAAAAACACTGTATTTTTAATCAGCTGTTGTAATATTCTTCAAACTCACAAATTCTATACCAGTCAGCACTATGGCCAATGGAAAGAGCTGCTTGTGAGTAGCTAATTATTAATATTTATTAGGAGCAATTATATATTGCTGAGACATAACTAAAATTTAGTGTCTCAGAATAATAATTTAAAAAACCTCCAATGAATTACTGTGGCTTTCTACGACTTTGATGAATGACTTTTTTTTTTAAGTGAAGAACAATGTGAAATAAAAGGCTAAAATTAGCTGTTTTGTGTTTATGTTTGTATAAGTACCCACTGATGACCAGCAGTTACCATTAGTGGTTTTAACAAGTCATATTATTCCTTAAAGTAAGTTGTTTGTTATAATAAAAAGACATACGACTTAAACAACATAAAAAAATTATTTTTATACTGTTATGTCCAAACGGAATGCCATTTGGTTATTCTCTGACTTGTAAGCCAAGAACCATGTTCTATCCAGGAGAGAAGAGAGCCAGAAAAAGAAAATGGAGCCCCCAGCCCCGTTTCTTAATGACCAGGTCTGCCAAAATCAACTCCAAAAAGATGGAAAACGGGAGCTCTGTGCTCGAACAAATGCTGCTTTATTGAAGCATGGTCAGCATCCACTTTTCTCATTTTAACTCATGACATTTCTTGCAAGTGGGCTCGCGTGAACCTGGCGCACGCAGACACGCAGTTATCCTTACCACGCAAGTCCAGCGGAGGACTCCACAGGAAAGGCTAATCGCGTGTGCGAAGGGACTCTCAAATTCTTTGAAATGCAGTGAGTGACAGGGGGCCCGTGTTCCACAAGGTGTTTCTTCAGCCACAGTGGGGAGGGCAGGGGTCAGTCTGTAGCCTCTCACCACAGGCGCTGGGACAGAGGGGAGGACGCAGCAGCATGCTGCCTGAGCGCCCGACACGTGGAGGTTGGCAACATTAGTAAAAAGGGTCAGTACTCATGAGGACATACCATGGGCTGGCATGCCTGGGCTCTCAGCACCAGTATCTATACCAGTCCGTGCAGCAGGGCTATTTATTACAACCACTGAAACAGAGAGAAGCCCCACTTGATAGTGCTTTATAGAACGAGGTCTCCGGACACCGAAATCCATAATTAGATTCAATTACTCTTTCATTTTCACACTTGTGTTTCTCCGGAATAAAGAACATGGCCTTGCTCTACGGAATTAAAAGGAACATGCCTTCTTATGCCATCATCTTATTTTCAATTATCCTTCCCTGATAAGGTCAGGAATGAAAAGTAACTCTATAGCCTCATTTGTCTTATATTTTATTATAAAAGTTGCTTTCTCAGTTGGACAAGCATTTGTTTTCTTTCTTTAGGGTTAAAATTTTCATTACCCTAATTCTGCTTGCATATGTACTGTGATGGGATTTCTGCGCACAAAAATGAAATCTCTGCTCTAGAATTTAAATGTCCTAAGCAAAAACTTATCCCAGCTATAATCGCTTTCCATTACAGATTATATAAGCAGGATGAGGAAAAGCACAGGGTGGGGGAAGAGATCCAGTTAGGCATGTATGCAGGAAGGCGTGGACAACTGTACTGCTGATCTCTGCCGGTCTGCAGAGGGGAGCACTTGATGCGTAAGTATTTTTTCTCTTGTTCTTTTTAATTTCTTAAAACTTTTTAAAATCAATTTTGTGTGCTTAGATCAGGTAATCTGAACAAGTAATTGGAAGACAACATTATGTAATACAGCAACCACTGTGGAATTTCTATTGTTTTGATTGGCAAAGTTTTGAATTGTTTCTAATTTTTTTTCTACTCCCTTTAGATAGTTAAAAAAAAAAAATTACTATGCCAGAATATGAACCGTCTGGGGTGATATCATGCTCTAAGCATAACGTAAGAGATGCTCCTGGACAGATTTCTAAGAAATGAACGCAAATGTTTTATGCTCTCTTTTAATATTCTAGTGCTGCTCCACACAACGCTGACTAGCTCACAACTCACTTCGCGCCACAGGCGACAAGATCCTCTGGGGGCGCACAGGCTGCTGGGGGGGAAGTAGCCTAGCCCCCGGCTAGCTACAGGGTCCCACCAGGAAGCAACCCTGCCTCAGAGCTCAGCTCTGCCACCCGCTGTTTCTACATGACCCTCAGCAGCGAGTTGCTCAGCTCGGCACCCTCTCAAGTGTGTTGTCTATAAAATGGGGATGTTCAATCCTCGCGGGGTGTTCTGAGGACAACACGCGGACGCTGCTCAGCACAGCACCAGGCGGCGCGCAGGGCCTGAAACACGCAGCCACTGTTCCACCAATTCCTTACGTGCCAGGATCAAGTCATCTGCTCATGGCCTCTCTCCTTAGCTTCTTTACTCAGTGTCAGAACGGCTTGCAGAGCAGAGCACCCAGCTCAACCCCTGAGAGGATGTGGGCCTGTAACCATACGCGGTTCTGCTGCGGGAGGGGGCTGTGACACGGCACCTCCGCCACCTGAGGGATCGTGAGGGCTACACGAGCCAGCCCAGGGAAAGGCACCCAGAATACAGCAAACCACCTTGGGAGTTTTAGGATTTTTCAAGATCCATGATGTCAAAGGAATCTATTTGACACACAAGCTTAAATATCATATGGTTCCTCACAGGTGAGAAACCCAAAGTATAAGTAAATAAAAGAGCAAAGTACCCTGTAGGCTTGTAAGTAACGCAGTGGCTCCCACTCCGACGGAGAGGGCCCTCTCTGGGAGTCGGTGTTCTTCTCTTCTGGAATTAGGTGTCACATTTGAGATGTCTTCCTGTCTGTCCCTAATCACACCTTATGGTAAATACTAGGGAAACAGGTACAAGAAGAGCAAACGCCTGGGAAGGGGACGGCACT